CGCCGTTGGGGCTGATCTGTGCATGATGGGAATGTTGACGGCGCCGCCACCTGGCCGCCTCTGGCGACGACTGAATGGCTGTGCAGCCGCTAAACTCCCGCTACCACCACACCTGCCCACCAGCACGAGCTTTCCTGTTAAAGCACGCTCAACATACTACAACGCCAATGGGGCGAGGCGGCACACAAAGGAAGCTGGTGGTACAACACGGTCGGGTCGAGAAATGAAAGAAGAACGCAGGTGAGTGCGGGGAGGGAGGCGAAGAAACAGAGCATGCCCAGCATCGGGGTGGCGGGACACCGAGTGGCGCTGGACGGAGGCATCAGCAAACGACAGCGCAAGGCACTCTGCTCCGGCGGCATCAGAACATTCCTGCCCTCTAAGTGCCCGCCTGCCTCCCTCCCTCCCTCCGTGCCCTCCTCCCTCGCCTGATCTGGCCTGAAATCGCCCCATGCCCCTCACGCCCTCGCTGCTCCCTCTCTGCTCCCTCCCTGCCCATCCTTGCGACCCACCTGATAGAAGATGTGGTACGAGCGCTCGCCCGCCTGCTGGTGCGCCACCCGCGACTTCTCCAGCAGGTAGGTGTGGGTGAGTGCGCCGCAGATGCTGTGGCCGCGGTTGAAGTAGATCTCTGCAGGCAACAGCCGAGCCAGGGTTGCAACGCAAAAACAAAAAGAACAGAAAAGGTCAACAGATGGGGTGGCAGGACGACAGCCGGAGAAAGTGCGGTACTGAGCGGTACTGAGCGGGGGCGCATGCAAGGCTCGCAGCAGCGGCCATGCCAAAGCAGGGCAGCAGCAGGGCCGGCGTCACAGGGAGCCGCCGCACGCCGCCGCACTTGCCTATGAGCTTGCCGAAGCGGCTGCTGTTGTTGTTGTGGATGGTCTTGGCGTTGCCAAAGGCCTCCAGTATCGGATTGGTCTGCAGCACCCGATCCTGCGCCCCACGCCCCCCCCGGGAGGCAGGCGTGTGAGCACACAGTCGTGGCGCCGGCAAGGGACCCCACATGCACGTCGCCTCCTCTCCCTCCACCTGCGCCAGCCGCCGCCGACCTATCCACCACCCCAGGCGGTGGCCAGCGGAGGTGGCATGGGCAGCAGGCAGCACTTGGGCGGAACACGCCGCCCGCCTCCACCGCGGCAGCAGCTGCCGGGCAGCTGCCGCACCTCCATGCCCGTGCCGCCTGCCAGCGCCGCCAGGTACTTCATCATCTTCTTGGTGCTCTCCGTCTTGCCCGCCCCCGACTCTCCCGTGATGAGCACGCTCTGCGACTGGTTGAGGGCCACCATCTGC